AGCATGAAAACTATAACAAGCACAAAATGGTTACGAGATTGGTCCCAGGGACCGAGCCCATGCTGAAAGAGTTAATCACTAACACATTATTGGGAAATAGCATGTGTAATACAAGCAGAATTTTATTGTACCTTCTCATTCTGATGACATGATTTAACATGTTTTACATTAGTTGTCAGTTTTTGTCATTTTTAGCTTGCCTATACAAATTATAGGGAAAGCTTATGCTATCTGTCTGTTGTTAGAATCCTCCAATTTTGGTTAAAATTTTGCATTTAGCTTAATTTCTTTGAAGGTATAGGTGTTGCTGCAGTGTTACCTTACACAAAAATACATCTTTATCAGAAATACAGGATGTCTGAAAAAGTATGTCACTGTTACTACCACTTGAGGCTCAGCATATGGGTTCTACAGAACTATATTTGTATTCTATGTCTGATCATACAGATTTCTATACGATGTTTGGCACTGTAGTTTAACCACTGTCATTCTCACTTGTATAGTTGCAGAGATCAACTTCAATCAGAAATGTACTGAAAGGTAAAAGTTACAGCCCTAAGACAGGGTTCATAGATACCTAGCCCAGCATGAATTACACCCATTGAATTAAATTCCAAGCTTTCTATACCATTATGAAAGTAATATTAGGCTAGATAAAAGAAACAAATTTCATTCAACAGAATTTTCACACTTTAATTTGAAATTCTTTTTTTTTGGCCAGTCAAAATATGTGACCATACCCATGCTTGATTCTTTTTAAAGTAAAGAATTACAATAATAATAAATTCAAACAAGTTCCCATGTATTGGTTGTTCAGAATTTTGCTTTCTTAAGCCATGGGCTTCAACAGGTCTGGCACAATACACATAGACATCAATATTTTCATGCCAAAATCAGCAAGAATGCAATATTATTTTTATACATTAAACTGCAATCATATATAATATAAACCTCTGAACAAAGCAAGCAACCTCAATAACTCAGAACTATAAATTAATTCAGTAATAAGCACAGCAATATTATAATGATTGGAGTGCACTGTTCCATCAATTGGGTACACTAATTATTAATGATTTTTCAGCTGTAAACCCAATGCTAAACTAGACTTCTCATCATTGTTTATTTTCAACCTGTGTATTAACTAATCCTGAACTAATTTTAAAAAATTCCTTTTAGCTATTTACAGTTTCCCTTATATTATGCTTAGGTTCAAACTTGATCTTATCACTCATTCAAAAATTCATGTCTTCTCTTTTCGAATGTAATGCCACTTCCGAAAAGATATTTTGTTCAATGGTAATTTTGATGAAAACAAAGAAGACAGCAAGCAAAATTATATTTTAAATTTTTCTCAATTTAAAACTATCATATGTTTCCACACCCAAAGATATTATCTTTAAATAACACAGTAAAATTTGCAAAAAAAAAATTGAGGGGGGATTTAGGGGATAAGATTCTCTCTGTCCTGTGAAAAGAAAAACAACTGAATATTGTAATGTGCAAATAGCCAAAGGGTGAGTTAGAAAACAGCAATGCCAGCAAAATGGATTGTCACCCTTTCCAAAATCAGTAAAGGCAATAAAACTTAAGTATTTGAGTACATCATAACAAACATTTGATGATGTTTTTTTAACTACATGTAGCAATATCCTGTTTGACACAATAAACTGACTAGAAAAAATTGATGTAACGTGTATCTTTATTATTACTAACAGTATTAATAATAGTGGTACTTCTAACAGTAATAGTAATAGTAACACAGATAGTATTACTGATCAATAATATTATACTACCATAAATCTTACTAATACTGTTGTTATTAAAATTAGAAATTTTAAAATTAGTAATACTAATACTAGTAATAGTATAGAAATTACAACTTACAATTTACATGCACTGTTAGTTGAATTGGATTTTTTGTTCGTTATTTTTCAATAACACTTGTATATGGTGTAAATTGTAAGTTACAAAATTACATATTTACAGTTACCAGCAACAGGCATAGATCAGTGCCGAAATTAACCCTAACAACCAAGTAAGCCTAATACTTTTGTGTTAAATGTTATATGAAACTGAAAAAACATGTAATACTAATATCAGTAATAACCAATAGTAATATCGAAAGTAATCTTGCTTTTGAGTTTAGCGTTAGACTTAATAATTATTTTAATAATAATACTACTACATATGAAATAAAGATTTAACTTACTCATTGTTTAATTTGATAACCACATTACGCAGCAATATTATTTTTATTAGATCTGTTATTTTATGTTCGAAATAACGCTTATCATTTACCTATTTCACAGCCTATAGAACTTCGAAGATTTAATATTCAAAGCTCACTTATTTCTCACAGAACAACCAACCCTGGTCCGGTGCAGCTAGCGTTTCGATAACAGAAAGATACACGAAAATAAGGCGGCCAAACTAACAAATAAGACTTATTTTTTATCGACACGCAAATCAAATCAAATAATTATGATAACTATTAAAAGTAAAGTATGACTATTTTTAATTTTATATTTTTAAGCATGTACTTTATATAAAACGTGTCTTAGAAGATTGATTAAATTTTTTCCATATTATATTTAAAGTCAATAAAATTAGTTGACGTTCCCAAATTTTGACGCTCATTGCCACTGGGTAGTTTTGTTTCGGTTTCGGTTTATAAAAGGGCTGTGTCTCTGAAAATGCTTATTTCCGTTATTCAGTTGAGAAGAATTAGTACAGAGCATCGGAAATAAGTTTGAATTGACTGGCATGACAGAAGATAAAGAAAGTTAGGGAAATTAGGACATCAAAAAGGATGTATGAGAAAAGGTTGGCT